TATCCCACACCAGATATTACATTTCATTCCCGTCTTTGAATCCAGCCGGCCACGTACTGACCACACGGATGTATGGGAGATAAGATATCAACAGTATTCTGGACAACGTGTAAACCCTGAACAGACTAATCTAACTTATTATGTGACCTCAGACCAGACCGCCTGGTCGTGGCTACAAGGTGACTAACGGGGACTTCCCCGTGTGTTCACGCGAGGCCAAGGCAGAGAATCTTTGCACCAGGCCCAATTGACCTGTTTCAGGGTCAACTCTGACCCCTCAGAAAGCTGAGCTGCCCCCGAGCCTGCTCCATAGTCCAGTACGTGTGGTGGTAGTGGTGCAGGCTGCAGATCATAACCATCTTCTGGAGAGAGGCAGTGTTGGGTATTTGTTCGTAAGTATCAAACTATAATTTGTTTGGGTTTGTTTTAATTGCTTAATTGTGTTTATCGCTCCGCCTACTCTAACACGAATGAATTAAAGACGGTCGTACTTTGAACCAAGCGTAGTGAGTGTGTGTTCGTTGCGCCGCGAACATAGTTTTATTGTGTGTGTGTGTGTGTGTGTGTGTGTGTGTGTGTGTGTGTGTGTGTGTGTGTGTGTATGTGTGTGTGTGTGTGTGTGTATGTGGGGGGGGGGGGGGGGGGGCTCTCGTTGTCTAAAGTGCTGTGTTCGCTTCGCATTCAATAGGTCCCGGGTTCGAAACCTAAAATCGACGGAAAATTTTCTTCTCTAAAGTATTCTCCTTTCACTTCCTTTCCTGCTCTCTAGCCATGTTCAGATGTTGTCTCCATGTTCTGCTTTCGTCTCCACTTTACCCACCACCCTTTGCCCCCTTTCGTTTGGCTCCTACCTCTTTCTGCAGCCTTTCTACAGCTACTCCTTGGCTACTTCTTACTGCTGTTTTTCATCCACACCCCTGATCTTAGGTCATATGGTACGATCTAACACCAAGCCTCCTCTGATAAGGGCGAAAAATCCCGGAGGTCCCGTGTGCAAGCTGCGCACGTTAAAGATCCCTTGGTAGACCTAAATCAATAAGGGTAGGCTTCAGCTACCACCCGTGCTAAATTCAAAATTAATTCCTACCAAGCTGCGCACGCTCATATGACCTTATGCAGTTGCAAGCGCCGTAAAACACTTACCAAAACAAAATAAAACAAAATATTGTGGTACATGCATGTATATCATAAGATTAGATTAGATTAGGTTATTATTATGTTATATTATTGTACTATATTGTATCCCATTATTTTATACTTATTTTTATGGTATAGTTTTGTCTTTTCAAGAATGTTTCACGTCATAACAAGTTTAGGATATTTGGAGGTGGGCTTTGACCCTGCCTGTCCGAGCCTTCCCTGGCATGAGAGGGTTACGGCATGCCAGCAGAGAGTTAGTTTTAGTAGAGGTTTTACGGCGCTCGCAAGTGCATAATAAGGACATATTATGAGCGCCAAGGGGTGGATGTCAACAGAGAAGTCCTTACAGGGAATCAGACTTACTCTGCTCACCTCTCTTGCTTCAACAGCACAAAGTGTGCTTCTACTACCAAGGCACACCGGAAATAGCGGGTCACAAGAGTGTGACAAACATACAAAAGAAGAAGAGGAAAATGACGATAGTGTAAAGATAAGGAAAGAAAAGCAGCAGTTCCATGATGTAGTTCAGGCACAGTTATGAGCATGACATTTGTTGGATCAGCCAATTTACAATTCTACAGTGCATTAGAACGAGAACTGTCCCCCCTTTGGGAATGGCCTAAAGACACTTCAGTTTGAGGCACCGCCCCGGGGAGGGGGGGTTGCCAGCAGAAAGACCGAGATACTCAATGAAAATGATAGGCTATATATACATAAAAGCATCAAAGTCTTTGAAGATAACAGTTGCTCAGGTGTACTAACTTGGTAACTATGCCTTTTCTATGGGTGGTCTCTGGGGTGTGTCCTTGAGCAAGACACGACACCCTATAGCTCAACAAACAGGGCGCTGCACCATGGCGACCAGAAACAGCATGGTTGTGAAATTGTTGTTCTGTATTGGTGTAATATTGTGTTTCTTTGTATTTATGTATGTATATGTGTAAGTATTTATATATGTGTATGTATTTATAGTTATGTGTTTGTGTGTATGTATGTATGTTTGCCATTGTGAACAGTGGCGGTGGGTAGACCAAAATTTGGGTGGGGCTTTGTTGCTTCCACTTCTTTACCACCAAATAACAAACAATACGACCTTATCACGGTATTTTGAGAACTATTCAAACGAGAAGAGTCACTTTTGTCTTCCATGTCTTTGTTCTAAGTTAGATTCTTCTGGATGAAAAAGTTGCCTTAAAAGTGGAATCGACGTGATTTATAACTGTTAAATCTCAGCGGCACAAACACAAACATGCACACACAACTTTCCAAACATATTCCGTCTTTGAGCTGGATTGGGTCGTGCAGTTGCAGAAAGTAGAACATACCTAACAAAGGTCCAATGAGAGCGTGGTTATCTGTGTCACTGCGGGAAAGTGTGTTGTCAAATTTCACCCCATTGTCAGGGCTAGGAGAGCGTGAGCCCTTAGTACAGTGTTATTTTTTCCAGTCTTCTACATTACGGAAAGGGCGTGGGAATTGGCTCATCCTTTGCTGAGCCCTAAAGGTTGCTATAGTTGTAAGCGGTGACAACAGTGATTGGATAAACGAGCAAGCCGCCAAGCTGATCACTCTGTTCATTGCGTGCGATCATAACGGTTTCAACTGATTATTTCGTTCGTTAAGAAACTTTTCATTTACTTTGGGATAGAGTTGGGG